CCCGCCCGCCGCGGGTGGAGGGGGGGAAGCCGGAGCTGCCTCTGGTCAAGGGCAGAGGCTGCTCCCTGCCGGAATCCACCTCGGAGCGTCTCTGGCGCTTCCCTGCGTTTGTCTTCATTAGCGGGTTCAGGCAGAGAGGGACCAAAGTGACCAAATTCACTCGGGGGTGCCATATTTTCCTGCTAAACTTAACAATAATGATCCTGAAAACGCGCCTGCCTGCGTGCTCCTCTCAAGCCTTGAGAGATGACGTTCAGTGCAGCTGGTTGCAGGTGGACGGATGCTGGCAAAAATCACGGTCTGAGGCAAATGGGTTCTGTTCCTGGATGTGCAAACCAGGACCTCACCGTACACAGTGTCCAGAGTGGAGGTGATGGTGGAGATCTCCAGAAAGCACCTGGGGCTCTGCGAAACATCTTACAGGAAAGACGAGTGTTATAACTCTGAATAGTGAAGAAATTCCCCCGCGACTAATTTTGCTGTCTGTATTGTTCTGGTTGTGTTTCTAGAATCCTCATTTAAACCAGAATGCCTGGAATAACCTTGAGAAGTACAGCAGAAGCTTGGCAAGGAACAACAAGAACGTCTATGTCTGCACAGGACCCCTTTACCTGCCCAGGTAAACATGAGAGCCAAGCTGGGACCGAGCTCGAAAGATGCATCGTGCTGGAAAGCAGAGCAGGCTGAGGGGGTGCAGCTTCCCAGCTGCTCCCAAATGGGAGGGATCTGCTAAGGCCCCGCTCAGTGGGTGAGACCAGCTGTATGCAGAGGTTCTGTGGAAGGGTACTTTTTTAGGATTAGGATTAGTTTATGTATTTCCCGTTCAGTTAATTATTTCCTGAGTAAAGGTGGGTTTCTTGAGCTACAACATAACAGAGTTGGTTTTGTTTGCAATCCTTGACAATCTAGCAGTAGTAGGTTACTAGATTATTAGATTAACAGATTAGACTGCGGACCCCTTCCCTGCAGAGTAAAGCTTCTAGGTTTTTATTTCATGAACTATTTCTCCACTTAAGAGCATGACTTTATTTGCAAAGATCTTCATGTAGCGCTAAAGAGCGGCTGTCTCATGTTGAGATCTCTGCAGCAGCAGGAAATAGCTTGGAAAGGCCGTTAAAGGGAGACAGCAGGAAAGGGATTTGGGGAAACAGACCCAATACACAGCTCAGCCTCACAGTGTCACGTAGCCTCTGTTTCAGCAATGTTTATACACCCCTACCACAGAAGTAGGGCTGCTCCCTGCCCTGCTGCGGGGTGGGGGCTCGCTTTGGGGGGTGTGTGGAGGGCTGAGGGGATGGATGTAGCACCAGACTAGGAGATAACATGGGACGTTGCTGTTGGTGCAGGATGGAGGCCGATGGGAAGATGTACGTCAAGTACCAGGTGATTGGGAAGAACAACGTGGCCGTCCCCACCCATTTCTTCAAGGTGCTCATCTTGGAAAAGGAGAGCGGGGAGATTGAGTTGCGCTCATATGTGATGCCCAACAGCCCTGTGGATGAGAAAATCCCCTTGGAACGGTTCCTGGTTCCCATTGAGAGCATCGAGCGAGCCTCGGGGCTCCTCTTTGTCCCAAACATCTTGAAGAGAACGAGTAACTTGAAAGCCATCACAGCTGGCAGCAAGCGTTGAACCCCAACTAAACAAATCCAGGTAACCCCTGGCAAGGGACTGACAGCAGTTGCCCATGGATTAATAGTTCCTTGTGTGATTTTTAAATGTGAGAAATAAGAATGAAACCAATGCTTCTCTTTACCCTTCCCCTTGTTTTGCATAACAGTGAAACACACGCAGGTCTCAAGGGCAGGTCCTGCAGAAGTCTCCCAGGCACTTGACACCATACTGCGTACCCCTGTAATTGTTCCATTTGATTTGTGTTGTGGCTCATTGAGACACAAAGGGAAGTTTACTTAATTTCTGCTATGTAGCAGAGAACAGGAGTAAGATGTGTGCACAGGGAGAGAAGTTCCTGGCTTTCTGTGGCCAAAGGATTGTATGATTGTTTTCTTTTAGAAGATGGTTTTAGCAGTAAAGCTTTGAACACCCGCAGTATTGGTTCTTATCTGCTCTCACCAAAGCTCTGAGTATCTCAGCAGGAGGGGGAGGACAGAGCCAACTTTTGCAGCTGCTTTCCTGTTTGAGCTCACTGTAGGCAGAGCTTAAGGCCTGATACATGAAGCCAAACTGTAATGAGCTATGCTGATGTGCTTTAGTGCTGAGGCCCAGCTGAGGCTCCAGCCTTTCCTGCTGTTGGGAAGGATGAAGCCTTGGAGTTGAAACACGGGCTGGCGGAAGTCAGGCTAACCGAGACAGGAACAGTTTCTTGGCATAAAGATTAAGTTTTAACTTCCTTTAAATCTGAAGGCCACATGGCTCCAGAGGTACTGAGCACGCAGGATCTCTTGGACACCAAGTGCCCATCCTCTGCACCAAGACACTCACACACAGACTTCAAGGCAGCTGAGGTTCCGTACTACTTTATTCCCCAGATATCTGAATTACTGAGACCCAGTCTGCTGCCAGGCTTGTCCCAGCTGCTGAGAGGCAGCAACCAGCCCTTGGCTGGACCACGCAGGCAGGAGGGCAAAGACTTGGTCCCAGCCAGACGCCTGGTTGAACAGTGCACCAGCTCTAGTCACGCTGTGTCTTGGCCCTGCCAGGCTCTTGGAGTGATTTGCCCAGCACCCTGCCTTCGAACAGCTACTTCCCCAAAGCAGTCCTCAGCTGATGGCAAGGTCAGTGGTTTTCCTTCCCTTGGCTGTTGCTGGATGTCTTCACAGCCTCATCGATGTGGGGTCTCAGCGCAGACAGGGAGATCAGCAGTGCTTCCTGGAACAGACCCAGGTGGCAGTCAGAACCGCTGCTCTCTAAGGAGCACCAGGCAAGCCAGCCACTCATTACTGAAGTGTCACCATGGGGAACGCCACGTGGGCCACATGTGTCACTGGCAGAGGAAGAAACGCAGCACCACACCCTGCACGCAGGCGTTGTGCCCCACCACACCATTAGCCACCTGCCCTACCTCTGTCCGGATGGTTCTGCTGCCTTGGCTGGGACAGGTGTTCAGGTAGAAGTCAAACAAGACGCTTGGATCAGTGACCTCCAGGTTTGGATCCACATCAACCCCAGCCTCCAAGCCCTCAAGGCCTCCAAACACAACAAGGGCATGCCTGGGGGAGAGCACAGGGACAGGGTGGGAGGGGAGGCTGGCTCTTAGCCCTGTACCAAGGCAGATGCTCCAAGCTTTACATAAGAGAGCTGCTCATGTGCCTTGAGCCTTCAAGTGGGTTAAGAACTGTTAAGAACAGTTCTTTTAACTTTATCTGCAAGAAGCACTCATCTCTTTTGTTCAGGTATCTGGGTCTGCCCAATGCAGCTGCCTCCCTAATAAAAGTCCCACAGCACTTGGCCACTGCAACAGTCCCTGCTACCAACTCCAGAGAAACAGGAAAGGACTTTGCCTTGTCCTGGCGTACTTCCCCCAGCTTATGTCATGCAGAGGAATGCGCGTTGGTGCAAAAGGAAAGCAGCAGAGCACAGGAGGGAGCCCAGAGGCAAGTCTTGCACTTGTACCTACAAGTGTTCCTGCCTGGGAGAACACCAAGACCACAGTGCAGCTCTGCTGCCTGCATCAGGCCTCCCTGAGGGCTCTGAGTGGGGCCAAGCAGGCAGGACACAAACCTGAAGGAGGGGAGAGTGGCCTGGTCCACAGAGCTGCCCCGCTCTGAGGTCCCAATAGAGAGATCATAGCCTTCCTTGAACGGGGACTCTGAAAAGACAGCACCTGGGAAACAAACACAACACGGGGTTATTCATGTGCCCTCTCCCATGCTGCGTGCCTTCTGGGCAGGCCTGAAACGCTCCACAGGCAAGTGGCAGCAGCAGAAAGAATTGCTTTTCAGTGCCAGTAGTGCATCAGGAGACAGAAGAATGATTCTCCTTTCCTACACAGTTCCCTTGCTGCAAGGAGTCTCTGGCACCCTTCTCAACTGCAACACCTTTTCTTCAAAGCTCAAACAGGTGCTAGGAGCCATTCCTTGACTAACGGCTTGCAATTTTCCTAGGAGGTCCAATCAGAAGACAGGAAAAGGATTTTGCAGGGCTCTTGAGCTCAAATATAACTGTTGGCTTTGATGTGAATGAGTGGGAGGTAGTTGTCATGGAAATGGCTGGATGTGGTGAGCACCAACTCTTGCCTCCTGCTACAACGTGGACATCTGGCGCAACGGTGAGGGGAAGTACAGAGCAGAGTACTGGTGGGTGACTGGGGTGATTCGCTAGCTTTAGCCCTTAAATTTAGATTGCCACATGGCTGCTAAGCTGCCTTTGAGACAAAAGAGATTTCAAAGAAAGACATGTTAACGTGTGCTGCAGCTGTGCAGCCAGTAGGCCTGAAATTGGTGTGGAAGCTCAGGCAAAGACATGGCAGAAAACAGAGAACCCCTGCAAATACTTACTCAGGCAGGAGGCAAGGCGGACGCTGTAACCCCAGTACAAGCCTGAGACTGTCCGAGGGTGATGTGAGGACACCACAGTGCCTTTCCGCACTTTAGCTTCTGAAAGGGAAGCGAAGAGATTGACAACGCCTGTGATCTCCTAGCAAGAGCAGGATTTGACCAGACAGATAACAGCAGTCTCTCTTGGGGCAGGGCACTGACTTGGTGCACAACCAAGAACTGCCCTTTTGAGTGCATTCTGGAAAGCATGCAATTATGTTTGGGATGTTTATTGGACAAAAAGCTAATGGTTCTTTCCAGTTACCTAGGGATGCACGGTAAGGTGGTTGTTAAAATTGTGTGGAGTGAAGGGAACATGCAGAGCTGTTGGATACCTTCAAACATTAGTAATCTGCAGGCTGTCATATGGAAGGACCAACTCCTGCAGGACTGAAGGTTACCGATGCTAACGGAGCAGTGCATTACCTGGCTTCTGGGGTTCCTCCAGGCGCACAGTGACTCGCAGACCCGGGTTCAGCTGTCTGTCAATCTGCACCTCCTGCAGTGAAGTGTCACCATCAATGTCAGACATTCTGGAAGCACGAGGGAAGGTAGGGAAGGAAGGGAGCCTTCTGAGGAAGTGGGGGGTCTGTTCTGGGCTGGAGCTGGAATGAGGAGCTCTGCGATCAGAACCTGTGTGGTTCATGCAGTACAGAGCAGGCTCGGGGTGGCTTGGGTCAGCAGTCTGAGACTTATTTTGCTGCTCAAAGATTCAACTCCAGCAGTGAAGCAATGACATGCTGGAATGGGCAGGCCTGACAGGACTTGGGAAGCTACAACCATTAGCCAGCCAGAAGGGACAAGACAGCAACAGCATTAGACCCCATGCCAGCCCACTATGGCCTTCTGAAACTCAGCAGTACCCACCCTGCCTGCTTCAAATCTGCCAGAGAGAAAGGGGAGATTGTTTTGGGATCTGTGGGTAACAGACATACCTTCCTCATCCCACAGTTAACAAAAGAGCCTCTGCCTGGCTTAGTTGGCCGGTCCAACACTACGCCTTCTCGGTACTCTGAATCCTCATCCATCCGCATGTGGTGGGGGCTGTCCAGGGGGTTGAGCAGCCCTAGAACAGCACAGAGGACAGCAATTGCTAAGGAGAGGACAGAAACTGTGGGAACACAGGTGTAAGTACAACTGCTCCGCTGCCCCCTCCCTCTCTGGTCCAGCACACCATGCACATACCTCACCTGCGCTCTAAAGTGGGGAAAAGTTTTTCAATTCTGGGCATGCCATGCAAAACACGAGCCAGAGCTCAGGAAGGAGGAGCCAACAGATCGGGACAGAAACAACTGAATCATTACCTGCAAACTGCAGATCCTCATGTTTTGGAAAAAAGGATTTCCTCAAGTACCTGTTATCAGAGAAGGTTCAAATGTGAAAGCAGTTGCTTCTAAGGAATCCAACCCTCAATTCTAGCCCTGTTCTGGCTCAAAGGACCTGAGTATAGAGAAAAGCATGCTTAGCGCCCTCAAATCCATGATCTACCTCTAATGTATCATGCAGGTTGTATCCTGCAATCACTGCTCTTTTAAATTCCTGAACCAGACACATGAAGCAATTAGATCTTGTGTTCCTGCATTATTATGCGACATAAACAGAATTTGCCTCCTGCTCCCATAGCCTGTAGCATGGGATACCCATGGTAGTCAGTTCTGTTGCAAATCTGATGCACAGTCTGACCATGGTGGACTTACTGAGGGCACTCCAAGTACTGCAGGATCCGAGCCAGCTGCACGCAAGCCTTGCCTCTCCTCCCAATTCCTTCAAAGTCCCCCTCCACAGTCCTGAAAGAGAAAGAGAGCAGCCTCTGAACTCAGCATGAGACTGCACAGCCCCAAATGGCCAGGTCTCCAGAAGACCAAGTCTTGCTGCTGAAGCCTTGCTATCTGAAAATAGTAGCACCCTCCACCCCTAAGAAATAAACGGGCTGCCTTATAAGAGGGCTATCTGGAGCAGAGGTAGAGACTGTTAACAAATCTCATTTGGAACTCTCTCTAAGCCAAGTATCTTTTTCAGTTTTGTTTTTCATCTTTCTGTATTGACACAATCTGGCAGATGGATGCTACCAAGCTGGATGCTACAGGATTGCATGGCTTGGCCAGTTAACACAGATACAAGTCCAGGTTGAAAAGCTGAAGGACAGGAATTCATCTTCTATAAGGATAGAGGCATGTCCTGTCCTTCCACAGCAAGATCTAAGAGTACAGGGGAACTTTACCTCCTGCTGCTTTGTTACCCCCGTACTGGGATAAATGACCCTAGTTGCCAGGGCAGTTAAGTCAATATCTTTGCCCAGTGGTATAGGGGTCCCTGTAATCCTGGTAATTGAGAGGAACTCAAACATTTGCTTGAGGTACACACAGTTCCTTCCTGGTCTTAGCTTAATAAAAAATTGAAGAAACAGAAAGCAGAGAGAAAACACTTTCTACAGAACAAGATGGCTCCTCCTTACTTTACGTCTTCTCCATGTTCGTCGAACACTATGATCTCATCCACACAGAAGATGGCACAGGCCCGAGCAATCTGTCCAGCAAGGTATGTCCGCAGCTCCAGGGACTGGGCATTGTTCAAGATAGAGCCAGGCAGGGCTACGCTCAGTGTGTAGTGGCGCCCTGGGGAAGAGAGTGTGATCAGGAGAGCACCACAGCCTGACAGCTGCATGCACAGCATTTTACTTACTACAACTGCAGTTGTGGCGAGAGAAAAAAGCAACCTGTTCCTTAGATTTTAATCACAGGTTTTGTCGTAAGAGAGGTCTTGTGTGCAGTGCTCGCTGCGTTGTGTCCATGCCTGCATGCGCATGTGGATTGATCTATATCAGATCTATGAAGCTGAGCGCCACCTTTCCTATCGGTATGGAAAACTGACTGACTTTTATTGACCAAGCTCTCCCAGCTCTTTCAACCCAGGCCTCTGCACCGGGTCACAGCAGCATCACCTTTGTCTTCTGTCTGCTCCTCCAGCTTCTCCACTTGTTTTTCTGCCAGCTCCCGCATCCGCTGTTTCTCCAGTTTCTTCAGTAGCTTCATTTCCTTCCATTTTTTCTTCTCTGCTTTCCCTGGAAGGGAGAACACCATCTCGCTTTAAACATCGAGCCCTGAGCCCTCA